CAATGAGCTTGGTGACACGTCGGCAAAAGAGGTCGAAGCGACCGAAAATCAGAGTCTCGCTGAAGTCAAACTGCTTACCTGAGCACAACTTTTGGTCTGTGAATAGATGGCATCGCCTCTGTCCATTTTTGTCATCATTGCGGATCCTGACTGAGATGGTGCAATCCTTCAGTTATTGTTGTGCTTGATGTCGAGTATCCTTTGTCAGAGCCTGCAAGGCATCATCGAGTTCATAGCCCTTGTGTTCCATTGTATTGGGTTTCGAGCCCGCGGTATATGGTCTCTGTTTGAGGGCGCATTTTCTGCCAGTGTCTCAAAACGAAGCGGAGGGCCGAAGGCAAACCCAGTGTGGGTTCTGGTTGCCCTATTTGAAGTCAACATTGAGGGAAAGCGAAAGGCTGCCATACAAAGCCTTGCAATAAGGCCCACCTCGGGATCTCTAGGGTGTCCCAATTGCTCTTCTTGTCACAGGTGTTGTCAAACTCCAATTGCCATGTTCGAGTGATGGTTCGCTTCACTACTCTCAGGCCTTTTTGGCCTGAGAGGCCAGCCCAGACATCCACCTTCGATAGTCATGCAATGGCAATAATTTGTTGAAAACCACAAATCACATCCGCTGAAGAGTGCCCTCCCATACGTCCCTTCATGCAAGCCTGGAATGTACTGCTTGGCAGGCATGAAGGCAGAAAAATCACCTTGACTCCCTCTCACCATCGAACCAAGACACCCTTTGGCAGTGTCATCAGCGTGTCCTTTGTCTGCCTGTAGTACTCCTGAGGCTCCAAGGCGGTTTGTGGGAACAACAGGTCGACAGGGTGGGACTAACCGATTGTAAACTCGGCCAAGTCGTCGCTCGCAACCCCGCGCGATTTGACGCATTGGCAGTGGAGAGCTTGTCAGGGGTGAATTTATCCTCCGTTCCTGCCACAGTGTCAGCAAGGAACGTATCTTTGGTCAGAAAGCACTGGATCCCAAAATGGGTTAAAGTCTGCAGGTTCATCTAATACAATGTTCAAGTGCCAAAAAGCCGCGCCAAACAGAATTTATTGCCTTCCGAATATGATTAATGAACCTTGCGTAAAGTCAAGCCTAACGCAGGAGGCCTTCACACAACAACAAGCATTGCTTCACAAGTATGTCAGTGTCAGGTAGGAAGGGCGACTGAAGTGGAACGAAATCCTGCACCCTCTCTTTATCAGTCTTGCAGTTCCCTATGTAACCCCCAACTTGGTCACTACTTTTTAATTTCTCGTTCCTTCTCTTGCAGGGGTGGATCCAAAAATTTCCGCGCCGCATCAAAACAGTACGGGTCCCGTCTCCTGATACTCCTCGTTGAGGCGGATGCAGGACCACAGGTTCCTCAGGGCGAACCAAGGCCACCCGCACTGCTGCAGCCAATGCAAAGAATCCATCCTGGAGTCTTCATGACTGCCTGAAAATGTGCCTGTGAGTTTGGGGTAATAACTAATGACCCTCATGTTTGCAGGGTCGTGGAGAGGCAATTCCTCTTCAAAGGCCCCCCAGGAAAAGTGTGTACCTGATGCAGTGCTTCAACGTCACCAGGCGTCCCTCAAGTACCGCGAAAAAGGCCTTCCCATTTCAGGGAAGCGAAAGGGGCGTAGCTGGGGCATCAACCACATCCACGATGTGTTTGGAACAACCCAGCCATCCGAAAGGCCCGAACCCAGCCATTTCAAGATGACCGCAAGGGGTGTGAAATATATAAAGAAATAGTGCAGCTGGGTGTCTTGATGAGCACCAGCGGATCTTTGTGCCACAAGGATTCCGACTCCTCGCCTTCCAGGACGCACTCCTGCGAAACGTACCGACTGACGGGTGTCTACCCCTTCACAACTTGGTGCGCGTGAAATGGAATGACCCCCCTACAAACCATCCCCTATGGTTTCCTTCAAGGGAATTTCAAGGTTTTACTCCCCTCATGTTCATTGTCTGCTGAGCACCAGCAAGATGACCCCCCCCCGACTTGTGATTCAAGGAGTGCCGAATCATTGGGGCTTCCATTATCGCAAGTGATCCCCTGATGAATAATTGGGCGGTTTACTTCTCAGTGTTGACATTGAAACTTCATTGGAGGTTTTGCAGATTCAGATGGACATCATCGACCCTTGGTGGACATCATCGAAAACGCAACCGCCAACCATGTTTGAGGGATACAGTTAAGCGAGCCCAAAACTGACCCAGCAGCCCTTTTTCGGCATTTATATTGTGTATATATACATATATATATATATATAAAAAGGATGATTATAGATCCCTTGCGAAGCGCCTTGCCCCTTCAGGTATCCCCTTGTTACAAACATTTACCAAAAGCGCCCATCAGGCGCCAGGAGGGGGTACCAAATCAGTCCCTGTCAGTGACAAAAAGTGAATCACTGCAACAGTTTTAATATATTTTTTGCGCGCAGGGAGAACCCTTCATTTCCAGTCCTTGCAGTTGGTGATCATCTGGTTGGTGATCTTGGCAAAAAGGTTGGTCATGCGCTCCTGGGCACCGGGGCAGTGTTCGGCCAGGCTGGTGGTCAAAACTCCCTCTGCGGGTCATGGTCAGGGCCATGGTTCTCTTTATAGGAAACCCGGGAACCCTGGTAATTGGCCAAATTGGGCAGGCGGTCCATGAGCAGCGCGACTAAGACCAAGTAAAAGGACTCCATGAACCAAAACAAGCGCGAACGGGGGGAAGATAAAAAACATAGACAAAAGCGCGAACGGGGGGAAGATAAATGCCCCGTCGGACTCGTCTGTGATACCAATGTGTTTCGTTCCCCGCAAAGCTGGGCTTTATGGCCCCTTCGGGCAGCCGAAGGCGACCCTAGAGACCAAAGAGATCGGTTTTACTTCGTGCGTGAGATCCAATCAAAATCCGCTACCGGGAAAGGCGCCAGAAATGCGTAAGGCTTGTTCGGACCCGCCCCAATACACACTTACTAGGGGAGGTTGAAATGAGCCTGAAATGGTGGTGTCTCAAAATATGGAACGGTGCACAGTTTTTGAGGCAACCAACAGGAAACCCACTCAGGGGATGAGAAACACACATCCACGAAGGAACCTGCGTCGGCAGCGACCCATCATCTGCGACGTTTCTGGGTCCTTCGGCTGTCCCAAGACTCCCAAGATGGCTTCCTTTTGGTTTCCCTGTGAAACCTGCAAAGGGGTAGCCTACAAACGCACCCTTCCTTGGGCCCTCTTTGGTTTTTGGGGGCTCTTTTGTATCCCGAGCCACAGTGGTGTTGTAATACCGGGCGATGGTGTGGATCATCTTCACCGCATTCCTCGCAAGGCTTCGCAAAAAACCCCCAATAAAACGGAAACACCCAGGGGTGGGGACTCGAGTTTGCCTTTTGACCCCTGTGAAATCAAGTTGGACCAAGTCCCTTTGCAGGGCTACACGTTTTTCCACCTTGGCTTTAGGGGCGACCTCCTTTTGAGGAAACAAAGGACAACCAAGTGGGGGGTCTCTGCGGTCTCTCTGTGCCGGACTCCTCACATTGCGCTGAGTCAACAAATGCAAAATGCAGCAAGTCTACATGAACCGCAGTGCCAGCAAGCAAGTCACATGCAACTTGGCCTTTCACATCCTACTGTCAGCCAAAGCGATGAGATATGAGTTGCTTTCAGTTGTGAGCTGTCATTTGTCCGCTTACCCTATACAATTGGTGATGTGGACTGGTGGTTTGGAGGTGACGGGGAAGCTTCCCATTTAATTACCCACAAGGGCTCAGATTCAGGAGCCTGAAGGGATGAAAGGGCCCAAAGTGACCAAAACTGGGGGAAGGGCGGCGGCTGGATTGACGTGAAACCCAAAAAACACCTTTTGGAGGAACCTCCTTTTTGGGTTCCATATCGATTTGCTGGATAGCATCTAACATGCTTGGGGCTTGAGGAGCGATGTGTGGGAACCCTCACACATAGGGCCCGGCAATCTCCTAGCTTCTCTTTCAAACAAACTCACAAAGGGTATGTAGCTTGCTTCCAGGTTGCATCAATGCTGGCAGCGTGTCCTGGGGCAGAAAGGCGTCACATGCAAATGACTTGGCTACGGGGGGTGGCTGGCGGCTTGCCTTTGGTCTCCTTTCAAGACAACCCTCAAAAGCTACCAACCCGAAAAAAGACACCCTCAAGACAAAATCGGCTCGACTGCTTGGGAGCAACAGGCCTTGTCTCAAAGCGCGTCACAAAGAAAAAGCATGCACATGCACAAGGAAGGCGTGCTCAGACCCGAACAAACCCAAGATCTTTCTCAGTGCCAGACCAAGACCGATGGGACAACTAAACGGCTAATTCGAAACTCACCTGCCCAAAGGACCTGGCAATAAATAGTCAACCTTATTGGGCCATGACTAGAAGTGGAGCAAATAGGACAACCAAAAGGTTGAAAAATCAGCTTTGGGCAGATGAAATGATGTTGTATGTATGTCTTCGAACACTGGGTGTACCTTGTCTAACAGGCCTGCCGCCCTGCCGCCCCACTCACTGACATCGAGTGAAGCTGCGATATTATCCACTTGCCTCAGGGTGTCCCTTAAAGGAAACCATAGGCATGGTTTGTAGGGGGGCATTCCCTCATTCCCTGCTGAGAACCAGCAAGTGTTGCTTCCCTTCAAGCCCCGAAAGGAAGCAACTCCGGGTCGAGCCCACGCCCAGGCGCGATGATGGTGCTGGGCGTGCCGGTGTACAAGGGCTCGATGAACTTCTCTAAGGTGGTGAGATATTTGACCTCACTCTCCAGATTTCCCCCAGCTCAGTGTTTGAGCCTGGACTCAAATGATGATATGATGCTTGTCCGCTCCACAGGCTAGCCAGTAGAAACGTTGCCATGTAGAGGACGCTCACCAAATAGATAGGCCCAAAAATGCAATTTGCAAACCATCAGCAGGGGGCAAAGATGTCACTCTTCATTGGAATGACCGCCAGACAAAAATATCTCCACTCAGCAAGCCTTCCATGAGCCGCAAACATCAAGCGTTGCTTCCTTTTGTTCAGCCATTCTGTTTGGAGGATGTTCGCAAACGGAAAACACCGAGTTTGCCATCCTGGTCCACCACATGGAGACCACAAACCTATGTCATGTTGTGCGCGCTGCATCCGGGGCACGTTGTCTTTGGCCTCGTTGAAGGCTTCCGTGATGGCGATCTCAATCTGCTTCCATCTGCGCAGCGTATTGAACACCTGAGCTGAAACTGAAGGCTGTCTCGGACTGTACAGCTCCCCTCCGCAGATTCAGAAAGCGGAGAAGAAAAAGAAGAAGAAGAAGAAAAAGTGAAGGACCATACAAAAGGGGCGTAGTTCCCCTTGGCTCATTCTATGGGCTGGTACTCCAAATCCGAAGTGAACACGATTCACAAGGCTGCCCGGGCTGTGCATTGCCATGTATAAACAAGCTTGACCTTTCATGTTTGAGCACTTTGTGCCGCGCTACCAAGCGACGGTGTGTCGTTGAATTGCCAAAGCTGCTTCAAGAGGTCCATGGACACAGACCAATGAAACATGGGACAGCAAAGCCCACCCCCCCATTCTGAGAACCTGCTTGATGGGTAGGGGAGCCCTAATGTCTCTCCTGAAACCGCTCGAATCTATACCAAAAACTATCGAAACGAGTCATCTTGGATTCGTGCTTGGAAAATGCCTTTCCCAAAAAAAGCCGAGAACAAACAAACTGCGTCCTAAAACGGATGGAGACAATACAAATATAACCTGTTCTGAAAACTGATACCCATCCCTATGACTACTTTTTCAGGCGGCACTCATAGCAAGTGGCATGCCCTCCGGCCAACCGGCATGGAAAAAAACAAGGGAAACAAGAGGAAGGGGGGGGGGGACTCCTGGAAACAATCTTCCTCAAACATGGACCCTCTGGGTTCCATCTGTGGAAGGTGGGAGGCCAAAAAAAAACAACTGCCCACTGTCCAACAATCATGAAAGTGGACAGAATGGCTTTGGAAGATGACCGTCCTCTTTTTAAGACTCCCCTTCCGGTTTGGAAGAGGAATTTTGCAGCCCGAGTTGCAGATTGGCGATTCTTCGGCGCCACCTGCCGTGGAAAGTTTGGAAGCTCGCACATGGGACATGGCACTTCTGCCATGTGATCAGAGATTTAACTTAGGCGAGTTCCTTGCTGGTGGATTTGTCCAGTGGTGGTCTCCTTCCAAAAAGTGTCCTTTGCAGTAGCTTCCTGGCCGGAAGCAGCCTGATGTGGTCCTTCCAAAACCAAGCCGGCTCCTGGACACTGCCTCAATACCACAATAACTCTGGCCAACTGTTCCTCAGCCCGGTCTCAATCGCACCAGCCAATCCTACAGCCAGTCTCACTGACTCAATCACACTAGCCTAGACCGGCCATTCATTGCTCGGAAATTGAACTTGTTTTGCTGTGATGGGCAATATCGTAACTTAAGATTGATCCAATGCACAAATCAATCCACTTGGGAAACGTGTCGCAGAAGGTCTGTAAACAAGACGCCTCAAATTTGCATAAGACGGAAACCCCGGAGGCCCACAGACCTCACCTTCAACAATAAATTGTCTGAATCAGTAAATTGTCTAAATCAGCTGGCAGTCAGGTGAATTTCTATATCCATGGTCAATACTCATGGCCGCCATTCGACAAGAAGTCCAGGACCATCCCTAGAGCTGCTTTGACCACACATACCCGTGCCACGTTTGGAACCACGGAGGCCTCCTGGCTCGCATTTGTGATGGTGCGCAGCAAGCCGAAAACCATCTTCCTCTCCTTTGTCCTAGCGCCATGTGCATTCAAATCTCGGGGGATGGCTTTTCAAACAGCCTGTTTTTTGGATATAAATTACAAGGCAACATGGGGTGGAAAAAAAGATGGATTTTAATGAACTCGCAAAGCATAGAATATCACGAAGAAGCAACGCTCCCCACTTGCAATGGGAATAGACCGGATATCCTGGATGCGGTGCCGCGTCATAGTGATGCTGATAAGTCTGGAATCCAGACGTTTGCAAGGCCTGCAGGACTAGCTGCTTGATCATGTTCAGGTGTCCAAGGCAGGTGGTAAGCCGCTTGACACACCAACTCTGGCCTCAAAGCAACACAATAATGTTCCGGGTTGGCAAAATGCTGCCAAACGCGACAAGCTGGAAGAGCAAACTACGAGGTGCGTCCGCTGTGCCTTTCATCTCGTTGCACGCCCAAAATCCACTGACTGTTCCGACCCGAATACTATGCCCAAACGAACAACTCACCACGCTTTGGGCGCTGATAAGCCAGCAAGGCGGCCAACCTTTGAAGGCGCGTGCCCCCTCTCCTGAGCTGCTCGGTGATGGAGGTGATCTTCTGAAGCCTTGCGTAGACGGTTGTGTGCCTTTGAAAGACGAGTGACTTCCCGTTAATCGAGTCGAACTCCAGAAGTTGGCGGCGGCCCTTGAATTCCAAACAACTCCCAAGAGGCTAGCACCCCCTCCCCCCCCCACAAAAACAAAGAAAAGAAAAGGAAAGAAGCAGCCCTTTGTCAGCACGTTTTCTAAGATGTGAAAGCAGGCTGACTGAAAGGACACTCCATGAGCTTATCGTCGCAGTCACTTCTAGAATTTCCTTGTGAATCGCTGTGAACTGGATGGAAGTCCCGAAGTGCGGACTGTTTGGGCAGCCATTCCAGCACCTGTCCGATGACCTTTAGATTCCATAAAGGTGTGTGCTATCTCTCTCTCTCTCTCCCTCTCTATCACCCTCATCTTCCCCAAGCAGACACAAATATGTCACTAACTCTCGCCAATTAGCTTCGCTTATCCAATGCTCAGATTTAGGACCTGTTTGGCACCTTTCTGTTTAAGCCCCCTACTCTCCATACTCATGTTTGGGTGATGTTTCAAATTGTGTTAATGTCAACCTGACGGCGGGTTTTATAAGGCACAACAGCCCACCTGAGTCACGCCCCAAGCCATCCCAACATTCCGCTGCAAAGGACAGGTGCCGCGCCAAGCGTTTCCTCTTTGTCGCTTTTGATAGGAAACACGCTCAGACAGGTGTTTCGTCCACCAAAAGGAGCCCAAGATGGGCCTGGGGCCATTGAAGCGACATCCTCAAGCTTATGGTGGTTGATTGGAAGCTAATGCTAAAAAAAAAATGAGAACCCCTCATGATGGTCGCTTCCATGAAGAACGAGAGGGCAAACGCAGCCTTGGGCATGTTCCCCAAAGCCGAGCTCTGGGCCGATTCCGCCAGAAGTCCAGCTCTGTGCGGGGGCCGGCATCTCCAGAGTCCTGGAAGCAGGTCAGGGACCTGTCCGTTTTTCCAATCGCAAGCAGGTTTTGTTGACCTGGTTTCAAAGACTGGCTACCAAAAGGCTTCTGTGCGAATTTGGGGAGGAGGCCGCGGTTTTAGAAAGGAGGCTTTTATGGGAAGGATGGTTTCCCATGGCAAATGGAGCGAAGCTCAGTTCCCTTAGGAAGAGCGCTCCGCAGGCCCCCCTTCTGAAACCCTAGCAGCTGCACAATTCAACAAAGCGGTCTTACAACACACACTGCTGAGCGTTGAGACGTCGTTGCACCAGGCTTTTTTGCGCCGACCGAAGCTTTGAGAGATGTGCGATCTCATCATGTGACGGAAGCCAACTGTCAACTCCAACTGCCTGACTTTCCGACCCACCACACACAGCATAGTCTGACAGCGGCTGGGAGTCTTGGCCGCTCCTTCTGCTGGCCCTCCAGTGTGGTTTCCAGATACTGCTCGATCTGGCGGCACCACACCTGGCCAATGGAGCTGGGCCCAAAATCCAAGTCCAGGGGGTTTTGGGGACGCCGCCCCAACTCCCAAGTAAAAGAAGCCGGAACCGCAGGCACGGTGGGAACCCCGGGTTTGGGAAAAAGTTGATCAGCCGAATGTTGAAATCCAATAAGCATGGAAGTGTACAAACCGCCTTTGAGATAAAACGCTTCTTTTGGAATGAGTTCCTGTGCACCGAGCCGTATTCATTGGTGGGGGGCGTCCTTTCTGTCGGCCTTGCTACCCCAAAACACCCACAAATGGGTTTTTGGAGGACCCCCAGACATGCACCAGTTCTTTTGAAGGAATGTAGGGCTAGAAATATCAAGTAACCGCCCCGGACCCCCCGGTCGGAGCTTCCCCGCACACGCCGCAACGGGCGCCTCCAAGAGCTGCCCGTACTTGGTCACCAACTCGGGGTGGTCCTTCCGATTCCCCGACGGCGTCAAATCGATGCGAGGAAGGCCCGGGGTGTCCCGACTTCCCGACCTTTGACATTGACTTGTCAAAAGGAAGAAGAAAAAAAAAAGAGACAAACAAAAAAGCATGTCGCGGAAGAAAAAGTGAAGAACTGACTTGCTGATATTTGGGCTTTGTGATTGGTGATATTTTCCAAAAACTCGGATTCTCTTTGAAAACCCAACCCCTTTCATTCGAAACCTTGCCAAACACCTCACTTTTCCACGACCGACCGCAGAACCAAGATCAAGTTTTGCCCATGAACCTCGACCCAAGCCACGGAGGGCTCCTTTGCCACGTCGTTCAGCGTCTGGTTCCGCAAATCCACCTCCGTGGGCTCCGGGCTCGGCAGGTCGATGCCCCCCGACAGGGACTGGATGCCCTGGCCGAAAGCGAACCCCCCGACAAAATTCGGGGGAAGACTAGCGGCCAACCGCAAAAGCGATGTAGTCCTCCCCCCCCCCTCCGGGCCCGGCCTAGAGTTTTGCGAAACACGAGAGCCCTACAAGCCCCCCTTGAAATTGGGGCCAGTTTCCTTTGAATGTTATTCTAAACGAAACCCAACCAAAAAGGTGTCATGTGAGTCATGTGTATGATAAGGGGTCCAACTAAAACTGGTGAATGGTTTGAAGTGGCTTCCCCAAGCGATTTCCTGCGTAGCACGAAAAGCGTAGCCTCGGGAAAGAAACGTCCTTCCCACCACCCTCCCGCAAATGCTTTGTGCACAAACCCGTCTTGGAACCGAAGCCTTTCCTCTCGAGGGTTTTCAGTGCACCAAGCTAAACCACCAAATCTCATTTGAGAGCCAACCCCTCCTGCGACAACTCGATAGTGAACTTCTCGAAGGTTGTCTTGAACCTCAGTGCCACGAGCACATGAAACTCCTTGGACTGCACGTGCAAGTCTGAGTGATAGTGGCCAAATGGTCGGTTGGTACTTGATCGTACACGGCAACTCGCCACAAACATGAGCCCGAATCCTCCAAACGACCACATGAAAACTCAGCCTGGATGATTCTGATCACCAAGAGGGCTTTGGATTCAGTGCAGACCGCCGACGGCGACCTCTGTCGGCTACTAGGTATGCAACTTTCTAGTCTAGAACTAAAAAATGCGGTCCTAATGCTGTATGTCAAAAAAAAACGTAGATGAGTGTTGCTGTGGACTCCTGTCAAAGAAAAGCTTGGCTTGGTAATCTGATGCTGATCTCTTCAACTTCAGCATCTCCAATGACCATGACAGGCTTCATTCATCATCATGCTGCGTTCATGATATTATGGACGGTTGATTTGTATTTATTCCTGCCCATCAATCAACTTGCGTGGATTACATAGTATAGGCCCCGTTCCCAAAAAGTCGAATTTCCTCTCGAGTGAGTTGTCCACCATGAAAATCTGCCCGGCTTCCTTGCATCTACCAAAAGAACACGAGACGTCCAGCACCTGCAACCAGGAATCCTCAAGGACCGCCACGGGTTTTCGCAGGTTTTCCAACATCGGCAGATTTCTGGAAACCTGGCCGGTTTTGTCTGCCGCGTGGCTCGTTTGCCTGCTCCGGCTCGCAGGAGGACCAATCCGTGGAAACCTGGCTCACCAGCGGCTTGAACACGTCCAGCAGGCCTGGAACTTGCGCGAGCCAAACAGAAGATTGTAAGTTTTGCCCTTGTGGCTTCCTTTCACCTCTGAGCACAAACGCGCCCTTTGCAGCAAAGGGCACCCAGCACAATTACAGCCTTGCTACCGAGCAAATGAGGGAGGAAATTTGGCAGGAAGCATGCCAGAGCATGTTGGAGTCAAACGGGATTGGCTTAGCCAGTGAAACTAGGCTAAATGATAGCATACCGGGTTCTTCAGAAAGCCCTGCTTCCGAAATTCATATCGACAAGAGGCGCCAACCCTCTTGCCCCCCGACTTCAATCTTCTTCTGTTTATCTCGCAGAACCTGGTATGCGCAATCAAATGGATCATTTCCTCGGGAGTTTCCTACAATAGCGGCCCTCCACGTGAGGGGGGGGGGGATCTGTTTGGCTTCCTGCTGTTTATGTTTTGGATACCTCCAGTATCGTCAGCAGATCATCCAGCTGAGAGACATTGTGGTCACTCGGGCAACAGCTTGCTCATCATAGATGGGTTGGCGACACCCCGAGATCGGAGGGGAGCTTATGGCGTCCCTTCCAAGCGCCGCAAAAACAGGCGCCAAGAACTTGTAAGACAAAAACATAGCTAGTGGCCGTGAAACAGTTAGTAGCAGATATGGACCTTGAACCGAAAGCTCAGGCTCCAATTGGGTTGGCAGTCTCACAAAATAATGTGCATGCATATATACACATATACATATATATATATATACACATATACATATATACATATATACATATATACACATATACACATATACATATATGAATTGCGTTATGAAGGGGCAAGGTCTTTCCTCAAGAGACATTCACCTATCAGCATCTCAAACAACCCTGGCAACCAGTGAAGGACCCAGCTTGGTCGAGTTTGGAACCAGGGCGCTCAAAGAGAAACACTCACTCCCAGCTTTTCCTGCTTCGTAACAGCAAAGCATCGACGTCTTGCCATGCTCCGCCCTTCTCACGGGCCACGCCTGTGTTGAGACCTCAGCAAAGCATGGCCCCCCAATCTGAATAAAGAACCTCTCTCGGAGCGAATGACCTGAAGGGAGTCCCTGGAAAAGAGAAAAAGCAACAGGTGCCGATCAAACTCAACTAACTTTGTGGTCGGTTTGGGGATTGGTGGCTTGGATGCTCCGAGGGGTGGACCCACGAATCCAGAAAGAGGGATCCTTCTGACATGGAACAACCCATATGAGGAAGCAAACAAGGGAACTGATTGGAAGAGCCATGGAAGAAGCGCCTTCCTGGCTCTCTCCATCCTTTTCAAGGTCACCCGAAGGCTCTTCCCAAGTTCCTTGTGTGTTTCGCATGATGAACGGGGAGTCAAACCCTAGAGTTCCGGATGCATCTCCGCTGCGAAGGCAGGGAAAACCTTGGATCAGCTGGAATGAATTTCATGTCTCACCATGCCATCTGTCTTTATGGGCAAACAAAGCAGCAGGGACTGGGTAAGAGCAGGGAGGGCAAATGCCAATGTCGAGTAAGTCATCCCCAATTCCTAACTCCCAAAACCAATCCCATCCCTGCCTTCAGTCCCGGCGCATTTCTGCTTCAGCTTCTTCGCCAAACCAAACTACCTTTGATTCTGGTCACGTAGTGAACCTTATAAAACTGAATCATTTGCTCTCAACGCAAACTCCAAGTCGCGTTCTTTCGGGGTGACGCGGATAGGCGATGATAAGACACCTTCGAAACAACACCCTCAAGCGCTGCCAGGGCCCCCCGCTCTCCAGCGGCGAGGCTGCCATCTCCCCGAACAGCAGGTCGCCGTCTGAGGCCACGTCCGCCTCGCGGAAGGCAGCCAGCCGCCCGGAGGTCCGGAGGTCCGGACCGCCGCCCCCCAAAGTGCCGGTTTCTGTGGAGGTCCGTTTCGGAGATGCTACCTTTCGGTTTCAGGGACAACCACAAGGAACACCACAATTTGCCCCTCCCCCCCACCCCCACCCTATTTTGACACATACCTGTGTACATAAGTTCTTAAGGATTGGAGAGGGGCAGTATGTCAGGTCAGTGGTTCGCAACCCCGGGCAAGCACCACCGGAAGGTTTCCTAAGCACTTGCCAAGCAGCCTGCTTTCCTAAGTACAGCTCAGCGACCACTTTTCCTTCTATTAGGCTGTGAAGCCATCCTGGCAAATGGAAAACAATCTACAGGCCTTGGGAAAACCACTCAGGCAACCCTTGAATTGGGATTCCACACTGAGATCACCAGGCCGGGCCCAAAGCAGCAAGACAAGTTATGATGCAACTTGGACGCGGCACCAAACGTCCTCACAAAAGTGGACCTTGTTCGTGGTCGGGGTTGTGACCAACAAACATACAAAGTTGTACATGGAGTTTGGTTTCGGGTGGAAGGCGTGGCAAAGCCTTGCTCCAAGGGACCGTGGGTACTTGTGGAGCATGTAGTAGACAAGCTTTTTCCACGGTTTGGATGAAACAGCCGTATGAACAGATAGGTGGGTGGGCGGGCGGGCGGGCTGGCGGGGGCGGGAAAGCGCGCAGGTGCTCTTGCTCTTCTGGCACCATACGGTCGCAAACAACAAGCACTGTTGTTGCATAGTCCTGTACCCAAGGCTCCAAAAGTATTTAACCCCTACGTGGGCAAATGGCAAAATCGACCTTGAAATCTAACCAAAAGCGAAAGTGAGTCATGTTGACCCATCTAAGTAGAGCCCAGCATATTTGTCTGAGTGATTCGAAGCATGAAGCCACCAACCTCCCCCGCGCCTTCACGGGCTTCGAGTCCGCGACGTTTCGGAGGAAGTAAACCTCGTCTCTAACAGTACTGGAAACGGTGCAAGCATGGTCTGTCTGCCGGTCTATGGCTCCACGCTAGGATCAGTCCTCCGTCTTTGTGCGGATGCCAGCTATCAACCAATCCAGCCTAGCAGCCTTTCCATTTAGTAGCCTTTCCATTTAGTCAAAAGAGAGTACACTTGATCTGTACTACAACTTTCTCAAACCTATTGGGGTCAGCCAATCCGGGCCTTCCTCACCTTCAACCCTTTACGAGGCGGTCTCACAAAGAAACCAAGCCGGGGAGAAGCAAACATAGAACACAAAGGTTGGGTTGCTAGTGACTGATGGAACGATTTCCAGCCCACTGAGTGGCTTCCTTTGGCCTTGTACCATCCCAAAAAAGGCTTCCCTTCGGGAACCTGTCTCGCTTGGACCCTGTGTGCTAGGCTTACCCGGCCGAAAGCCCCCCAAACCGAAGAAAGCAAAATCTGTGGACTCTGGCAACCATGTTCAGCGAAAATGTGATCTGCAGTACGATATACTATATGTATGTAATGTCATGTCATGTCATGTCATGTCATGTAATGTAATGTAATATAATGTAATGCAATATAATGTAATGTAATGTAATGTAATGTAACGTAACGTAATGTAATGTAATGTAATGTAATGTAATGTTGTGGTGTGTTGTGTTGTGTTGTGTTGTGTTGTGTTGTGTTGTGTTGTGTTGTGTTGTGTTGTGTTGTGGTGTGTTGTGTTGTGTTGTGTTGTGCTATGTTACGTTTCGGTTCTGTTATGTTATGGTATGTTATGTATGTGTATATATATATATATATGACTGAACTCTAAACTGTAAAACTTGTGACTGGTATTTATTTTGACAATGTGATGTGATGTGAGCCACAAACTGTGCTATGTTTGCAGTCACCCACTTAAAGTGAACCGAACCAGCAAAAAATGCATGTCAGGAACGGCGAAGTAATTGGACATGGACCCTTTGGTGGGGGGCATCACCTGTGTGGGGACTTCGCCTCCAGCGAGCGACCCATGCTTGAGTGTGTTCCAACTCTCAAAATTCGTAGCTACTACTTCGTGAGTGCCAGAAAGAGAAGGCCCCGCGAGTCTATGACTCCACCCACAAGTCGCCAAACATTGGTAAGGTGAATCCAGTTGAATAAAACGTCCCTTGGCTGACTAAAAGGAGGGGTGTCCCATCTTACAGGAATTCTTCACTTCTGGCTGCACCCCCCGTCAGGTTGATCCGGAGCTTAAGGGCCTGCTTTGTGCGAGCATGAGCTACTCGTGGGTTCAAAGTGTCCTCACGTCAACCCAAGGGTCTCTGTTCCGACAAAGGTTTGCCCATCCAAGGGGCAGCTCTGTTCTTGATCCTCACATCTTCGTGCTCGCCCGTGGTAATCATGAGCTTTGCATCCCCTGGCCGGAGCGAGCTGGAAGTCGGTCCCGATGTGAATCGACATGCCAAGCCTGAAGTGTCAGATCCCTGAAAGGACTGGCTTTGTGCCGAGTCTCCTACCTCCACGAATTAGTAACCAGCTAGTTGGTACTGGTTCTTCACATGGGCCAACTCAGTGGTTTGACCGCCTTATTTGCCCGTCCGAGCATGGCCTTTGGCATCTACTAGTTCGTTGGCGTCGTTGATGACGTCAGGCCGCTGATAGTACACGAAAACGTGCTTGTGCTTGCTCTTTCCTGAGATTGGCAAGACACAAGCGACACACTCATACAAAAAGTGAGACACGAAGCTGTCAGCCTGAAAAGGCGACGAGGGCAACAGCTGTCCATACAAACCGATGTGCGTCGGGATGGGACTCTCTCTCTTCAACCCTGAGTGGAAAGACTTCTCAGCTTGAGCCGGCCTCAGAAAAGCCAAGTGGCCCTCGAGGAAGTCGTTTAACTTCTTCAAGTTGTTGTACTCGCCCAGGACTTGTTCGACGACATGGACCCTGGCCAATGCAAGAAGTTCCCGGCACAGCCGGATTTAATGTCAAAGCTAACTTTAAAAAAAGAGTCTTCACAAGCAAACAACATGATGCGTCATGATGACGATATTGATGATGATGATGATGATGATGATGATGATGATGATGATGATGATGATGATGATGATGATGATGATGATGATGATGATGATGATGATGATGATGATGTTGATGATGATGATGATGATGATGATGATGACGATTCACGCCAGACAAATCCCGGCTGCCCTTTCCAAGCAGCAGCACAGAGCCTCCAACCCGACACCTTCAAGTCTGTTCTTCATTCACACACGGCCTGCCGTGCCCAAATGTATAGGGCAGCACTCAGTGCATTTTCTTGAGGCTCCTGACGACTACCTGGAGTCTCTGTGACGCCTCCATTCCTAATAACTTGCCAAAATCTGATCACCTTTCGGCCCACGAAAGGAAATGCCGACCAGCTTCCGCGCAGAAGCGCGTTCCGCGCCTGTCCGACATGCCAAAGGCCGCGGCCACGTTGGCCGCCATCCATCGGTGCCTCTCCTGGAGCGCCATGATCTACCTGGCAGATCTCGCTCGGACCCGTTGAGGATCCGACCCAAGGACCAGATCCAAGGACCAGCCAAGGGAGTTGGTTGCTGAAAAAAGTGAGTTTCTGTGATGCCCAAGGGAGTCTTCATGACGACCTCATCAGTTCTGGGGGGATTTGCTTGACCACGCGCAGGTGCAGGGTGGGTCCCCCTTTCAAAGCCTCTGCTGGGTCGCTCCACCGGTCCCTTCACCAAAAGTAGAGCAGAAAAGGGACGTGACAAAGGCCCGCTGTTCATCGCCAGGGCAGAGAGGGGAACAAAAAGAACAGTTGCAAACAACAGCTTTTGCTTCAACAATGGAACCAGTTGAGGTCCGTTCAAAACCTCCGGAAATAAGGGTATATTGGGGAATGGTGCATACATAGGGCGGCCTTTTCCATCTGGTATCCTCCCTGGCAGGAGGGTTTTGAATGGATCTTAGTTGAGTCTCGGGTTCAGTCATTTCAACACATTGAGGAAAATGGAACGGAACATCCGTGCATAATACTGCCCCACGTGTCTTGTCTGCTTGGAGCTTGGGGTTTGTGACAAAGATCAAAGATGCACTCACACATTCATCTGATCATGGGAGGTGACAAAAGGCCTTACAAGGCAACCTAATCCTTGATTTCTGAGATCTCAGATCAAGCACAAATCTAGCTGGTGATGTCAACCCCACTGAACACAACGGGTAACAGGTCACAATTCAACGCCACATCCAGAAATTGTGTCAAGCGCCTTTTGGCTCACATGAGGCAATGCCATGTCTTTCAAATCTTGCCAGATGACACGAGATGCTGAGATGCCTCCTTAATCGTGGACCCGTCGCTTCTAAGCTCCCAAGCAACCTTCCTAGACTGCCCTCTCTCCAACCAATCGCAGAGATTCAAGCCGCTGGAGGCTTTGCTTGCCCGGCATTCATCCAAGGCACAGAGGTGTGGGAGGTGTACCTCAGAGACAGACTTCTCGACTCGAATGCAAGTCGCAAGCAGACTTGGCACAAGGGCCATTCTCAAGGCCAGAAACTTCAGCAGTCCCCAGAGACTCGAGATGGCGTTTGGCCCCAAGGGCTTCATTGCTTGCGGGGTACAAAATCTCGGCGATAAACCACCAACCATTTTTGAGGAAGTTCCACATTCAAGTGCATAGCCAGGCGGCTAATTGGGTTGTAATGTGAAGGTGCCGGTGTCGTGAAACCTTGGTCATGCAAATGGCCGAACTGCCTGCTTTCCAAGTCGGCCATGAGACATTGCATGCTTACAGCACTTGCTGCCACTGCAAGTGTCATCAAATCTCAAAGTGGGTTCTGACCCTGGAAACTAATCGCCTATGTACCCTGCCCCTTTTAGCAGCATGTGTAAGGCCTGCGCTTTTGGCACGGCTTGGTCTCTGGCAAATCGGCCAGAGCCAACAGTGCTTCGAGTCGGAAGCTCGACGGACGGTGCGAGGCAAGGAAACAATCAGAACCAGAGCTAGTGCTTTGATCTGGAACATCACTCTCTTTCCTCTTGCGGCCAACATAACACCTCAGAGCGACCATGCCAAATACAATGTTGCATTGACAGCGCAAATGAGACTTTCGATCTGCTCCCCGTTCTGTCCCTGCAAGCAAACCGAGCGAGGGACTCAAAATGGCCCAGTGTGCTATGCTGGCCCGGGTTGGTCTGTTTATATACACCCGGCAGAAAGTATGTATTTTGGGCAGGGTCGTTTCCCGGGGCTTGGATTACTTCAAGTTTGGGCTACACCAAAGAGCAGCCCGGCTCTCAATCCCCAGCCGCAAGCTCTTGGCGACCAGAGAACAAGGGGCTGCCCTGCGAAACATCACCAAAACTTCGTGTTCGACACGTGCTCCAAACACAAGGGCGGCGAACCTGCAGGGGGCCATGGCCTTGCTTGATCTGGTTATAGCAGCTTCTCAGCCTCCTGATTGCAACTCTCAGCCTGCTTCGGCATGAAACGACAATCGTGCGAGGGCCACATGCGAGTGACCCGAGCTGTCCTTCAAGACCAAGTCTCCAGGGCGATTTGCTAAATTCTGATCACTCAGTGGCTAGTTTCCCCACTCAGACATGTCCTTGGACTGGTTCTTGTAAAAACATACCAGCCGCCTGTTCACCCCTTGTAATTGGTTCCTGTCTGAATCCATGGGGTCTCCGCATCCGTTTTTAAAACAGCGCTACAACTTCAAATAGTAGCCTTTTGGTAACCATAATTTCCATGGGTTTGATTGAAACCACAAACCACTTTTGAGAGTGTGTTCGACTGTTAACAAACCCAGTCATTCACTTAAATCGAAACCACATCCCCCCCATCCCCATGCCCCCCCCCATCCCCATCCCCACCCCCCACCCCGCGCCCCACTGCATCCTGCATCCCTTCCCTGGGCCATCGTCCGCCTCTTCCATGCGCTGCGCCAGCGGCTGCAGCAGTTGCTGCCAAGCCTCGAAGCCTCCCAGAGCTGTTTGGGGATCTCCCGGATCCGCCCGGCCGAGGCTCTCTCTCCCCATGGCCTTGTCACCCATTCCCAAGGGAGGAAATCAAGACGGAGGCCTCGGGAGGGTCTCCAAGCACTTGGGACCCAGTCCGAACTGGGACCTGGATGAATGAGGTTGGGGTGGTTGAAGATGATTTTCTGCCAGCCAAACGGTTGGCCGCCCCACAAGGGAACTGGGACTGGCCCAACATTCAATCACTCACTTGCGTTTGTGTAAGTTGCTTGTGTAGTGCACTTATAGTGACTCACTTGCAGGCTTCCTGAAATTGAAGGGTAAGTTGAGGTACTCAATAAGCTGACCCGCCGGACTCTTTTCGATTTCTGGAAAGGAGTGTGGGGAGGTGCCAAAACGGCTGATGTGCAAATAAATGCACCGAGTGCAACATGGCTGTAAGAACAAGACATTACCAGTGAAGCCTGGACATTGTGAACATGTTGCTTGTTCAGAGATTCCATCCATTCACTCTCAACGCAAGTGACACCTGTCCTTGAACCGTAGTCCGTTCTTGCTTTGTATAAACGGACCCCTAATAATAACCCCCGCCCCCCCGTCCAACCCCAAAAGTTCCCGATACGAATTCTAAAATTAGCCAATACTAAACCTATACTAAACTTTCTGGAAGCCCGGTAAATCCCAAAATGTGCTTGTTAACGGTCACCCCTTTTCCTACCTTGTCTGCCTCCCTCAAAAGGTGTCTTTCTGAAACAAATCAAGCTTTTTGTTGTTAGATTTATTTTGTTCAAAGCTGATTCTCGTCCTTTTGAGCACTTTTTTTCTGCAAATCAAAGGGGTCCCACTTCTCCAGTTGTAACCCAATACTAAACAAGCCAATCTGAAGCAGCTCTGACCAAAAACCAGGTCCCTAAGATTAGAAACCCTCCGAAGTGGTTTTTTTAAAGGGGGGCGGGGGGACCAAATTATTATTAGGGAGAACGGATTTTTGCTAAACATCAGCTCCGCGGCTACGCACAACTGGCAACTGACAACGGGACACGGGCCATGCAAACTGGAAAGAAGGATAGAAGGATAGAAGGAAAGAAGAAAAGAAGGAAAGAAGGAAAGAAGGAAAGAAGGAAAGAAGTAAGGAAGGCAAGAAGGAAAGAAGGCAAGAAAGAAAGAAGGAAAGAAGGAAAGAAGGAAAGAAGGAAAGAAGGAAAGAAGGAAAGAAGTAAGGAAGGCAAGAAGGAAAGAAGGAAAGAAGGAAAGAAGGAAAGAATGAAAGAAGGAAAGAAGGAAAGAAGGAAAATGACAGAAAGAAAGAAACAAAGAATGAATGAACAAAAGACAAATGAGAGAATGTCGATAAACAAACAACATAATATCAAAAACAAAACAAAACCCAAAAAATACAAACGTTATTTCCTTCCTTCCTCTTTCCTTCTTTCCATGTTTCCTTGTTTCGTGCAATCGTTCTTCCTTCTTGCGCGCAGCATCGTGCGCGGCACGAAGCATCATGTGCAACATCATGTCCAACATCATGCGCAACATCATGCGCAGCATCATCATGCGCAACGCGCAACATCACACGTAGCTTCGCGCGGAGAGTCAATTCGCTGCACATTGCAGGCAAGGAAAGTTGTTTGCGTGCTGCTTTTCCACTGTAATGTGGAGTGCACTTTCCGAACGTAACATTGCTTCGCGCGCCACCTTTGCGCGGAAATGCTTACGATTCTGCTGCGGGAATGCACTTCACGTTTCAAAATTTGCGATTCTCACCACTGCAATGTCCTACAAATAGGAATCCATTCAACAGATTGTTCGCAGGGCCCAGGTTTCACGTCGAGACACCTTGTGTACACTTCCAGTCGGCGCTTTGCAAAGGGCGGCTCAACTGGTCAATTTCTCCTTCCCTCCCCACTTGGGAAGGATGCTCAATGACCAAAGAATCGCTAGGTGGATATCAAAACTACAGGCTTGATTTTAAGCAACCACCAATCATATTCATCACCACCTAAACCCTCCTCCCCACGACCTCAAACACCTGCTCCCTTTCCCCACACCCCAGCGCCTTCACGCGAAGGCGGGCCAAAGGCGAGCCTGGAATTTTCCCGCTTGATGCAAGCAGAACCCACCCAATAAACCAGGTACGTTGTAGAAGCTCCAGCATTTGGGGTTCGTTTGAGCCTGTGTGTCTCGCAAAAGTTTCACAAAAGTGGACTCCATGCAAATGGTGTTTTTCGTTTGGCTTCTCTCTAAAGGTTCAAGCGCACTGGCAATGGTCCAACATCGGATGTGGGGCTTGCTCCACTAGCACAAGGGGTTTAGTTTAGTAGTTTGGTAAAGCATGATTCAGGCCCTCAGAGTAGAAGCAGGCTCCGGGTGGTACCCTCGAAAACAGCCAAACGTCTACGAAAAAGCACTCCAGTGCTTGGTTTGCTTGCGCAGCCTTTGGTTTGGTTCGGACCCACAGGGCCATAAGCGCCCCGGCGCATTGGCCGCTTCCGCCGCCTCCGGGAAGGAGAAGTGCGCGGGCACGCGCCGGCACACCTGGCCAGAAATTCTGGCCAAAACAAGGGTCGGGCCATCCCTACAACGCACGTTCCAGCCACGAG